TCTAATGATGGAGGACTGCGGGTGGGAATGGGGTAGAGATTTGATCCAGTTCACATTCAAAGGTGACCATTCCCCATTCGCACTTTGCAAAACAATACGAAATGTGAGTCGTCTTTCAAAATTTCACACTTCTCCAAATTTTGCAATGGAGTTCTTCAGCCAATTGATGCACACAGAAATCCATATACAGGGGTAAAGTGTGCATTGAAATGCATATGGAAAATAACATAGAAAAATGCAATATATTGGGGACAGTTGTTGCAACAACAACAAAAAGTGTACATTAGGCCAGATTCCATACACAAATATGCAATTTGTATTAGGCGAATTTTGTACCCAAATGCTGATGAATTTTTGTGAGTTGTAATCAAATAGCATCCAATAGCAACATTCAAATATCTCAAGGGCTTTCACATGGAAGAGGGAGCCAGTGGCATACGAAGTGGGGTGCGGAGGGGGCAGTCCGCCCCAGGTGCCACTCGGAGGGGGTGACAAGATGGGCCCTGCCTCCCCCCAGCTGTAGAGCAGCCAAGGGCACACACAGTCAGTATGGGCGCCACTTGCAGGGCATCCGTACAGGCTGCCACTCTTGCACACTGTCCATATGGGCTGCCTCTCACACGGCGACCGTACGGGCTGCCGCACGTGCGCACTCTGTACAGGATTGCTGCACATGCGCAGTCTGTACGGTTGTCGTGCAAGCGGTAGCCCATACAGACATCGCACGTGCGCCACCGGGCGGTTCGCCCTGCCCCTCGGTGTCCCGCCCCCGGGTGCTGGAGAGGGTTCCTCTGCCACTGAGGGAACAAGCTTGTCTTCTCCTGCTCCTTTGGGTAGGACACAAACCAATGGATTCAAATGGTAAGAAATATGTTTCCAACTACAGTGGTCCCTCTGGTTGCGAACGGGATCCGTTCTGGAGGCCCATTCGCAACATGAAAAGTCCGCAGCCTGAAGCGCCGTATCTGCGCAGGTGCACAGCGTGATTTAGTGCTTGTGCACATGCGCGAAGCACGATTTAGCGCTGCTGCACATGCACGAGCAGTGAAACCGGGAAGTAATCCTTTCCGGGTCACCGCAGGATGCAACCTGAAAAAACGTAACATGAAGCAAACGTAACATGAGGTTCTGACTGTAGACATTTGGAAGAAATATCTGACAGTGAGAGCTGTTCGACAGCGGAACGGTCTCCCTCAGAAGTTGGTGGACTCTCCTTCCTTGGAGGCTTTTAAGCAGAGATAGGATGGCCATCTGTCGTTGATGCTTTAGCTGTGATTCCTGAGTTGCAGGGGGTTGGACTAGATGACTCTGTGGGTCCCTTCCAACTCTACAATTCTATGATGCTTTGGTTCTACTTGGGAGTCATAAGCAGGGCAGCCGGGGAAGTGAAGGACAAATTACATTTGGCCCCGTTCTGTTCTCTTCCGAACTTCCCGAAGTTCTGATTTAGCTTCCCCAGCTCGGTGTGAACCAAAAGGGTTCAGGAAAGAAAGAGGGGGTTAATCCATACCAGTGGCAATGCACAGTTTTGCAATTAGGCTAATATACTGAACATGGTGGAAGAGGGCACTGCGATTAAGTAGACTCCCAGGGAAGGAAGTGGCTTTTTATCACCCAGATCAGAATATTTATGAACCTTTCTTCGCCTCTCATGAAGTTATTGTATCTCAGGTAAGGCGAAAAGCAAGGCTTGCTTTCCCGGCCATGATTTATAAGAAGGATGGGAGGGGTTTCCGTGTCGCTGGCGGAGCAGGCCTTGCCTCTGCCAGAGGAAACATCCTTACAGGTCAGGAGGGATCAGTCGCGCACGTGGAACAAAGGAAGCTGAATCAGACCATCGGACTTCAGTGCCAGGCGGTGTCTCTGCAAGGCAGGACACTCTCCAAGCCACGGCTGCAGTTGCTGGAGACTAAGGCTGGGATCATCTGAGAACATGCTCCACCACCTTCCTCTAAAATTAAAGTAGAGTTCTAGACCTCATGGTTCTCTGTAAACAGCTACATTTGACAAGGCCACAGAGAGCTGCTTTGCTCCCAAGTCAGGCTGTTGGATCCATCTTAGCTTAGTATTGTCAACACTGACCAGCAGCGTCTCTCCAGGGTTTTGAGCAGGAAATCTTTTCCAGCCCTGTCTGGAGTTGCCGTTGGGGATTCGAACCTGGGACCTTCTGCATGCAAGGCAGGTGCTCTCTCCTGCTCATGTGGTTGCTCAGGACACCTGCTTTTTTAGGGGCACAGCAGTGATGCAATGTGCAGTCAAAAGGGAGTGCGGCCTGGCAATATCGCAGAGGATCTCATGCGCTCATGTGCAGACTTGAGATTTAAATTACTTACAGGTGCTGCTGGCCAGCTCAATCAATTTCCTTTTCTCTCTGTTTCTCATTTTTCCAGTCTCCCACATTTCCACATCAGTTTGCGGATTTATTTCAAAGTCCTCCTGAAAATTCACCAAATAATTCCTCCTAATATATGCCATATTGCCCAATATACAGATCTTTTTACAAAATGAATTTCTCTAATATAATGCCATTTAAAAAAGAATTTCCACTCATATATACATTTTTATGAATAGTTTAACCCGGTCTAATACATTTCCATACACATTACTTGGCCAGAGAACCGCGCCGCAAGATTCAGAGAAGCGTGGTTTCGAAGGATGGCTGTGTTATCCCTTTGTGTCTTGTTTTGGAAATTAGGATAAAACGCTTTGCGAAATTATTCAGTCAAAATTGCATACGTGTGCTTATTAGGAGAAAGTTGCTGGTGAATTTTCATGAGGACTAATTATTCTGAAGTCACAAATGGATGTGGAAATTAACAGAAATTAAGACTGGAAGAGTGAGAAAAGGGAGGTGGACTGAAATGGATAGATAGGCTCATCACTAGATCAGGGCGAAGGATCGTCTAGTCAGCATCAGGGTCAGATGGGCAGAAAACGCATTTGAGGCTGTCAACACCCTTTTCTTTGGCTAGGAATGTGTGGCGTCTGTGTCAGCCAGCAGTTTAAGCACGAGAACTCCTCCAAACGGATCCCAAAATGGGATCCCAAAAAAGGGAGGCATCTCATTTGTCTCCCTAACTGCATTCTGACAACCGGTCGTGCCCCAGGAATGAACTTAGGTGACTGACAGGTCATTTTCGCTGATGACACTAAAAGGCTCATTTGGGCTCCTTGCCTCTTTTAATGGGAGCGTAAAAGACACACCGTGCCTTTGATTTAAGACTTGCCTTCCGCCCCCCGCCCAACCTGTCTGCTTTCTCCTGCATGTTAATGACATTCTCTCGGGCACAAATGAAAAGTTCAAAAGTTCTCTGGATCTCCAGGGAGGAAGTGCCCTTAAGGCTCCAACCCAGCCTATATTTCACCTGAATTTTCCAAACAAGAATTTCATAGAATCACAGAACTGCAGGGTTGGGAGGGACCCTGAGGGTCATCCAGCCCAACCCCCCTGCAATGCAGGAATCTTAGCTGAAGCATCCATGACAGATGGCCCTCCAACCTCTGCTTAAAAACCTCCAAGAAAAAGAGAGTCCACAACCTCCAGAGGGAGACTGTTGGCTTCAAAGGAACCGACAACGCAGGTGGACTCACTCCATCAGACTGGGCTTCACTGCTAAATAAATTCTAGGTTTTCACGAAACCTCTTTAAAAAAAAATATTCATTTTTCTTTTTCATTCATTACATACATTTCAAATTCTTAATGTTATTATATATTCCTCCCTCCCTCCCTCCCCTTCTAGGCTTCCCACAACTTCTGGTTTGTTTCTCTTTTCACCCATTTTGCTATCTCTTAACAGAAAAAGTTATTACAGTGGTACCTCGGGTTACATACGCTTCAGGTTACAGACTCCACTAACCCAGAAATAGTACCTCGGTTTAAGAACTTTGCTTCAGGATGAGAACAGAAATTGTGCTCCGGCGGCGCGGTGGCAGCAGGAGGCCCCATTAGCTAAAGTGGTGCTTCAGGTTAAGAACAGTTGCAGGTTAAGAACGGACCTCCAGAATAAATTAAGTACTTAACCTGAGGTACCACTGTAATAACATAGAGGCTCCAATACTTTGGCCACCTCCTGAGAAGAGAAGACTCCCTAGAAAAGACCCTGATGTTGGGAAAGATGGAGGGCACAAGGAGAAGGGGACGACAGAGGACGAGCTGGTTGGCTAGTGTTCTCGAAGCTACCAGCATGAGCTTGACCAAACTGTGGGAGGCAGTGGAAGACAGGAGGGCCTGGCGTGCTCTGGTCCAGGGGGTCACAAAGAGTCGGACACAACTAAACGACTAAACAACAACAAAACCTAAAGACATTAAAATAACAGTAAATACGCTATCATCTTTCACTATCTTCTAAACATTTTCTGATGCTAATAATGTGAATGATACTGGGCACTGAGGCCTCAGAGGATGAATTGGACTCCCCACAAGTTGAAGATTTTGAGGCGCTGTCAGTCAGAGGCGGAGCTAGCTGCTCTGGCACCCGGAGCGGCACACATGCTGTGCACCCCAGGGCTGGGCGAGGATCCCAGGGGCGGGGCTAGCCGCCCACGGGGGCAGGACTAGCTACCCATGGGGGCGGGGCAAGCGTCCCAGGGCACAGGGTGAGCGTCCCAGGGAGGCGCTGCCTGCAGTGAGCAGCGAGCGTCCCAGGGGGACAACTCCCACGGCAAGCATCCCAGAGGGGGTGGGGCAACGATGTCACCCCCCCTCAGGGATGACACCCAGGGCGGACTGCACCTCCCGCACCCCGTTCCTCCACCAGTGGGCAGTGTCCTCTGGAACCTGCACTTAAAATCCCCTTCAGGAGCCCTCTGGCTGGCAGGAAACCTGAGAAAGAATGCTTGGAGTTGTGGAGCCACCACCACCCAGACCCCGACAACAGCAACGCTCAAAGGTCTGGGTTGAAGAGCGATGAGATGGCGTGCATTGACAAACCCAGTTTGTGAGTAAAGGGTCTCCTCAAGAGTAAAGGTAGGGTCTAGGGCCAGCCTTCCTCAACCTTGGCTCTGAAGCTATGGTTGGACTACAACTCCCAACATCCCTAGCTAGCAGCTCAGGGGTGATGGGAGTTGTAGTCCGACCATAGCTACAGATCCAAGGTTGAGAGTCCTACATTGCAGGGGTGGAGCTGGATGACCTTTGGGGTCCCTCCCAACAGGCCTGGAAGACTAGAGTTCATAAGTTCTCCTTCAGGAGCGATCTAGCTGCGGGAAACATCAGACGTAATCCAAACCCCACTGAGACACGAGTAGATACGGATGAATTGATTAATAACCAATGAATAGATAAATGAGTAACAACATTGCTCTTTAGCCCATCTTTGCAAACCCAGAATGTTTGTGCAGGAAGGAACAGGATGCACACATTAGCGATCTCCGGCCCTGGACTTTTCCAGCTCCAGGGTCTTTGGCTCCCGGGTAACTCATTGAGCCGAATTCCTAGGAAATGTTGCATAATAGAAAGCTGAAGGGCATTCGTTGTCTCCAGATCTCATTATAGTTGGCTGGTGCGAGGCAGTGGGAGGTGGGGTAGATCATAATGTTTATTTTGTTAAAAGGCTGGCCGTGGTCCCAGTGGGGCTTATGGAAGAAAAGGGGGGGGAACCTCCTGGTATTTCATTTTACGCTTTTGCTATTGGAACATGGGAAGCAGCTTCAAATGGAGCCAAACCATTGGTCCATCAAGATGAGTGTTGTCTTTACAGGTGGGTCTCCAGGTTGTGGGTCTTTCCCAGCCTTACCTGGTGATGCAGGGGAACGAACCTGGGACATTCTGCATGCAGAGCAGGTGCTCTACTGCTGAACTACACCCCTTCTCTGCTGCAATGGGAGTTTCGTTTCTCCCATCATTTCAGAAGATGCAGATTTGACAGATGCGCCTTTAAATGCAAGCTGAATTGAATTTCTCCTCTTGCAGCCCTCTTCTTCCAAAACAAGCAGCGGAGGGAAACTTTAGCAGGATTTTAGACACATTGGAAAAGGAAGTTTCAGATTTGAATGGTATACGCTGGCTGGGTCAGTGGAGACAGGTATTCTGACTGTAGCCCCACAGGTAGGACCTGCCAGCAAAGAAGCTGAAACTGGTGATGGTTTGGAGGTACAGGGGTACCTTGGGTTAAGTACTTAATTCGTTCCAGAGGTCCGTTCTTAACCTGAAACTGTTCTTAACCTGAGGTACCACTTTAGCTAATGGGGCCTCCCACTGCTACCACACGATTTCTGTTCTCATCCTGAAGCAAAGTTCTTAACCCGAGGTACTATTTCTGGGTAGCGGAGTCTGTAACCTGAAGTGTATGTAACCTGAAGCATATGGAACCTGAGGTACCACTGTACATCAAGACAGTGGTAGGTCTGAACCTGAAGTTCCCATGGGATTCGGTAGCTAAACAATTATCAAGGTTGGAAATTGAGCTCAGAGTCCTCCTTTCGCACCAGTACAGATGCTCATTTCGCATTCGTGACCTAGGCTTCAGATCCAAGGCTACTAATGGATATGCCGATAATCTGCTTGCTACCTTCCAAGGAATTGATCTTGGGTGTGCATGGAGGGGGGGACCCTGTATCCCCCTTTGCTGTTCCCCAATTAACTCCTTGACCCTGAACTCTTGCTACACAGGGAGCTAGCTGCCTGCATTGGCTCTTGGGCCGGACCAGCACTAAGTTAAAAGCCTGTGACTTATGAGGCTGGCAAGACAACAGACTCTCTGGAAGTGGGATGCGGAAAGCAAAATGACCCAAAGGCTACATTGAGCTTGCCAATTCCGGTGCTCTCAGTTTTGTGTGGAACAAAGCGCAGGAAGCCAACATCTTTGCTTATGTGTTACTTTTTACAAGCCGATTGTCCTCCAAAGACATTTGGAGCAGCAAACAGGGCCTTCTGCTACCTGCACAACGACCCTGCGAGGTAGGTAAGGCTGAGAGGAGGCAACAGGCCCCCCTGGTCACGCAGAAGGTTTTTCAAGCAGGAATTCAGACCTGGGCAGTGTGTATGGCGGTCCTGGTCTGCCCAGACAACAAGACCACCCCCCATCTTGGCCTCGCTGATATGGTCCAAAGCAAAACAGAGCAAGATGTTTGGCACCACCTTGGCTGCAGGAGTTGCTGGGATAATAATAATAATAATAATAATAATAATAATAATAATTTATTATTTATACCCCGCCCATCTGGCTGGGTTTCCCCAGCCACTCTGGGCGGCTTCCAACAGAATATTAAAATACAGTGGCCTGTTAAACATTAAAAGCTTCCCTATGGCACTAGGATTCTCGTGGCCCAAAAATGGAAAACCCAGGAGATTTCAACTTTAATGGAGTGGCAGACGAAATTGTTTGAATATGTCGAACTGGCGAAAATGACTTACAAAATTTGATACCAAAAAGTAACAAAGTTTGAAGAGGAGTGGAGTAAATTTGTTGTGTACATACGGAATAACTGTAGAAGTTTAAAAACTGTAACAGGGCTAATATAAATCTTGTGACGTGGATAGAGTGTGTAAATAAGAATCTGTAAGAGAGGATGTAAATTGTGAAAACCAAAGTGGGGAAGGAAGGAAGTCCAGGCGCGAAATTGCGCAGGGTAAATGAGAAGATACAAAAATGTTGAATGTAAAAGTTCATGTTTTATTTAATTTTGTTTTGTTTTTGAAAATCAATAAAAAGCATTATAATAAAAAATAGATAAACATTAAAAGCTTCCCTAAACAGGGCTGCCTTCAGATGTCTTCTAAAAGTCTGGTAGTCACCACCCCACAGCCTCTCCATCCTTTATCCAAGCAAGCAAGGGACATTAGCACAGTTCAAGTACACCTTCCAGCCGAGATGGAGAACGCAGAGGTGTGTCCTGCAGAGAATCCTGGGGGGCAGCATTTGACACACACACACCCCCAAATCTGAGACTCCCCACTCCTGGATAAGGTGGTGCAACCGCTTACTCTCCCTCCCACCCACCCCCAGTGCGTCAGAATGGAAGCCACAGGCTGCTAATTCATTGCTGGGAAGTTAATCTGCTCTGTGGTTTCGGCTGCCCTTATTCTTTAAATGCACAGCTGGCGACGGTGCAGTTCTGTGCATTTTGCAGCCCATGCGCTTACGTCCACGTTAATGGGCAGAGAAACCCAAGCAGCTGCCTAATACCAAACCAGGCCACTGGTCCATCCAGTCCAGGATTGCTTGCACCGACTGGCAGCCTCTCTCTACCCGGAGATGCCCGGGATTCGATTCCAGGATCTTTTGCGTGCAAAGCAAGTGTTATTCCCAGCTGTGTAGGTGGACAGTGCAGCAGAGCTCACTGGTTCTGAAACTGGCAGCCTGTCTCCACCAGGTAGATGAGGGGAGATTCAGCCACTCCTCCTCCTGAACCCTACGTAAATTTCCATTTGGTTTGTCCTTATGCTTAAAAAAAACAAAAATACACTTTGGTGTGCTTCTATTTTCTTCTTTTTTATTTTGCTTCTCTTAGCCACTCTGAGCATCTCCGTAAGGAGAGGGAAACGTGGATTTCGTATTTTGTTATAAAATAAAAATAATTATAGAGAGAGATTTGCAAGGCTGCACACACAGAGACAAGCACAAATGCCGTGGATCAGTGAGAGACCTTCTATTCAGGGGCACTATGGGCCTGAAATGTTTGCAGGTTCTAGACTGCAGGATCCTCCCGATGTTTTTTGCTCTGTGCAACCTGCGGCCTCCCAGAAGATCTTGGACTCCATCTCCCATGAGCCCTTGCCAGCGGTCCGGGATGATGTCACCAGGGCAGGTCCCTCGCCCCTGGTGCAGTGGAAGGACGGGCAGCCCCTTTCCCTTTTCCTCTGCAACTTACTGAACTGGCAAATGTCTGTTCCCAATGGCCTCTGCCCTGAGCCACACCCTGCCTGTTTCCCTGGAAATCCCTCCAAGGTTGCAATCCTGACCCCACTCACCTGAGAGTACGTCCCACTGAATGCAACAGTACTTCTGAGTAGATGTGGCCAGGCTTGTGCGGTAAGCTACTAAAAGTCACTGCATCCAGTGGCAGCGAGTTCCGCAGGCGAATGGTGTGAACGTGCCCTTCCTGGGGGAAAGGGCAGTAGTTACTAAAAGTCACTGTATCCAGTGACAGTGAGTTCCACAGGCGAACGGTGTGAACGTGCCCTTCCTGGGCGAAAGGGCAGTAGCTACTAAAAGTCACTGCATCCAGTGGCAGTGAGTTCCGCAGGCAAACGGTGTGAACGTGTCCTTCCTGGGGGAAGGGGCAGTAGCTCAGAGGTTAGAGAATCTGCTTTGACTGCAGGAAGTCGCAGGTTCAATCCCTGGCACCTCCAAGTAGTGGCTGGGAAAGATTAAAAGCCTGGAGAGCTGCTGCGAGTCAGTGTAGACAATACTGAGCTAGGTGGACCCAACTGTCTGATTTGCAGTGTCCTTATTAATTTGTGCCTTTTACACAGAGCCATGAGGAATAGAACCTTACTTTAATTTTAGGGGAAGGACCATAGCGCAGTGACAGAGCACCTATCTGCTTTCCAGGCAGAAAGTTCCCCTGTGACATCCCCACATAGGGCCTGAAGTCCCAGGGAGCTGCTGCCAGTCAGTGCAGCCAGCTCCACGCTGGATGAAGCACTGGTCTGACTTCCTTTGTTCCTCTGTAACATCAATCATGGGGGCTGCCCCACTTTCCCTGCATCTTTTCCAGCTGTGTGTTGTGCAGTGACTATTTGCAGTATTCCTAGCGCAGCCACAGCACGGATTTATATAACAGCACGACGATACTGGCAAGTTTTATTTCCCACCCCTTCCTTAAGGATTCCTAATATGGCCTTCGCCTGTTACAGGACTGAGTCAACAATTCCCTTTCCTGGCCATTGACCACCAGGTCAGACCCCCCCCAGCAGTGTGCATACCAAGTTAGGCAAATTTGGGTATCATTTCGTTTCGTTTCGTTTCGTTTCTCCCTTCTTCTCCATTCACGGAGTTGGGGGGGGGGCAGAAACCAAGCCTTTTGGACCAGATTTCAGCCAGCCTGGAGTTTCAAAACACCCACTTCTCGGATGGGTGAAAACTCAGGAGGCTTAGGGAAGCTTTTAATGTTTGATGTTTTATCGCTTTTTTATTATTAATAATATTCTGTTGGGAGCCACCCAGAATGGCTGGGGAAACCCAGCCAGATAAGCGGGGTATAAATAAATCATCATCACCATCATCATTATCTTACAAAGAGCCCTAAGGGGGATCTCTCTTTTTCTCTCTCTCTAAAGTGGGTATATAGGGAACAAAAACTTATATAGGGAAAATAGGAAACAATTCTTAATCTTTTGTTGGAAGCTGCCTAGAGTGGCTGGCGAAACCCAGCCAGATGGGCGGGGTATAAATAATAAATTTATTAGTATTAGAACAACAGCTCCAAATGAACCGAGGAATCTGCCTTGCACTGACTCAACTGATGCCACAATCCTCATGCTAACGTTTACTGCACGCTGCCTTTTGCCCAGAGGGTCCCCAACCTTTGCCCTCTGGAACTGTATGCTCAGCGCAAAAGCGCACGAATGGAGTTATCCCGCTGCCAAGTTCCTTGCTCTCTTCCTGAGACTGAGCATGCCCAGCCAGCCACAGCAGAGGCCATGCACCCTGCGACAGATGGGACCATTGGAAGCCGTTTTGCTCCAAGCCAGGTGGTTCATCCATCTAAGTCAGCTGGCAGTAGCTGAGCAGCTATCCTACCCCTTGGGCTTCTGGTCCTTTGAACTGGAGAGGAACCAAGGGCCTTCTGCAAGCGAAGCAGGTGTCCTGCCGCTGAGCTAAGAGCCCTCCTCCCCTCCAAGCTTCCCACAGGGTCTTTCCAGCACTGTTAGCGCAATTCTACAACTGGAGGTGTCAGGAATTGGACCTGGGAATCTTCCGCATTCTGGGCTCTTATTGTACGTTAGGCGTGGGGAACCTTTGGCCCGCCGGATGTTGCTGAACTACAACTCCCATCAGCCCCAACGAGCCCAGCCAATGGCAAGGCACGATGAGAGCTGTGGTTCAGAAACATCCCATGGGCCAAACATTTGCCCAACTGCTTTAGGCGCTCTGAACTTTGCCTCTTTGAATCAACCTTCTCCACCAAAACGTGGTTAGACGACACCTCGCATCATCCCTGAGCATCCGTCACAGCACTTGTGAGTGATGGGAGCTGGAACTCAAAATACCCAGCACACACCCTGGGTCAGGAAGAGCCTCTCTAAATATTTTGCATCGCCAGGTCTTCACCGGAGGGGAGACGATGGTGTCAAGATACACCTTGAGATCTGCGTCAAAATAACATCACCTGCAAACCCACATCCTGCCAGCTTGAGACTGTTGTGGAAACTAGCTACATAAAAAGGACCCTCGGGTTGTTTTGTTATGCGTTCTACCATTCGCACATCCCCAAATGGGAATTTATTAGCATTCCACGTTGTTGTTGTTTTTGCAAAGAGTGGGAAGGAAGACCTGGAAGCACACTGGACATGTGTTGCATCTATCTGTGCCAGGGGCTTCTGGGGACATTTCAGAGGTCTTCTCCACATGGTGGATGTAGCACTGAGAAGCTGTCCCCAGGAGCCATTGCGTTTGTCCTTTGGACAGTGGCCAACCTGCTCTCTGCTTGTTATTTGCCATAGATGATCTGGACAGAAGACTTCCAGGTCTCCACCAAACGTTACCCTTCCAATACATGGAGAGACCAGGCAATGGAATGTCAACATGGCTCTGTACTGCAGTGTCGGCCATGAATTTAGAAGGAGCCTCCCTTTAGAGCAGAGCTTCCCAACCTTGGGTCTCCAGCTGTTTTGGGACTACAACTCCCATCACCCCTGACCACTGGCCCTGCTAGCTAGGGATGATGGGAGTTGTAACAGCTGGAGAAACTCTTGCTTTAGAGCACGGGTTGTTAAGAGAACTACATGGGGCCACCATAGCTTTCAGAGCACCGTCTCCTTTATGAGACCACACTGACCACCAAGCAATGTCCTGCAAGGAGTTCCGTTCTTTGCAGAAGCGAGATACTCCTAGTACATTCCGCCTGAAGCTGAGATAGGGCAGCCACCTAGCAGGGATGCTGTGGAAGTGGTTTGACTTCACCCCCAGAGGCGCACTCCATTGTCTCTTGAGACAGGCGGGTGCCAACAAACAGCAGCTTTCAAGCACTGGTTGCGGGTTGGACTAGATGAGGGATTTCCAGGACCCACTTTTGACCCAAACATGCATTTGGGGACCCATTTCTTAATCTCTTGCCATCTATTTCCACGGTGGCAGTGCTCCTGCTTCACTGTTGCTCCTGTTGGACCAACTAATGGATCCCAGCCCACGAATTGAAGACCAGTAGACTAGATTACCTGGGAGGTCCCTTCTCTCTCTAGGGATTTTTGTTATCCACGAGCAGGGCCTTATCTCCAGGGACTTGGACAAGATCCAGTTGGCTAGGTCCAATTTCAACTTTCAGAAAAGACCTTTCTAACACCTCCATGCAGAGTCAGTGATTATAGAATCATAGATAATGGTTGAGATAGAAGAGAACCCCCATGCAACACAGGAATCTTTTGCCCAGCGTGGGGCTCGAACATACAACCCGGAGATTAAGAGGCTCACACTCTACCGACTGAGCTACATCCCAGGCGTAGTTCTTTTCAGAGGTCAATGTATTATGCTGCTTTAACGTGCAACTCTCAAGTAAGTGACTTGATATTATCTCCAGGAAAAGGGGGAATTGCTCTGTGCCCAAAGGAGAGTCACAAATGAAGTCAGAAGCAGATAATGAAGCCCTGGGGAACATCTGGGCCCCAGATGTTGTTGAACTACAACTCCCAACATTCCCAGCCATTGGTCATGCTGGTTAGGGCTGAAGGAAACTGGAACACAGCGACAATGGGAGGGCCAAAAGTTCCCCAAATCCTGCCCAAATCTGTGGCCTTGCAAAAACTAAATACCCAGAGCCCACAAAGAGACTAGAGTACTGGGGTTTTTTGCAAAAACTTTTAGAATAAGGTTTATTACCCCGTTTAAAAAAATAGATATAAAATAACAGCACGTTCTGCCCAGCAGAAAACATTATTGTCAAGACTTTCCCGTAGCCTCGCTTTGTGCAAACAGTTTTTCAGTTATGAGTTATGTAAACATTAGAAGTCAAGTGTTCAAGTTCCACCCCTCCTCCACATACAGTAGAACTGCTACAAAAATAAGATATGTTCATGACTGACACATTTCCAAAAATCCCGACGTCTGCCTGCGTGGCTGCAATCCACACATCCCAACAGTCACTGCGCCAAAGCCACTCCAAGCTTTCCGTCACAACCGCCTCTTCACCCTGAACAGGGCTCTCCGCGAGCGAGCGGATCGCTTCCGCCCGGCCCTCAAGGTCATAGCTGCGCGCTATTTTAAAAGCGGCAACAGACGAGAGCGACCTCTGGGGACTTGGTTTCCTCCCCCGTTGTCGCCTTTCTCCCAGCCGCACTGGCCGATTTAATGCAAACCCTTTACAACTTGAAAGGGAACGATTCCAAGTAATCCTTTAAGACCGGGTTGAGAGGGATGCGCCTTAAGTTCTCTCTGCCGTACGTCGCCACGATGTTTTTCCGGCAGAGTTCCTGCAAGGACCGCATGCGCTCCTTGCGCAGCGGGGCGACCAGGGCTTTCCGCGGGGAGCTGACATAATGCTCCAGCAGCTGGAAGAGACAGTCAAACACCTCTTTGCTGCCATCCAGGCTGAAGCGGCCAGCTTGGAAGACCACACGGATGCTCGTGGGTCCCGTGGCAGTCTTAACGCTAATGGTGAAGAAGCAGTTCTTCTGCCGGCTGTCCCGGATGAGGAAGGTCCCCAGCGGCTCGCCTTTGAGTTTCTCATGGGCCACGTTGACCGACAACGGTCCCCAATAAAACCCGCACTCATCCAGCAAGGCGCTGGTGCGAATGATGGTGCTGAAGTCCGCCTGCGAGCGAAAGGTGTGGAAGTGGGTGTCCCGGGGCGCGGCGCTGGCACAGCCGAGAGCGTGAGGGACTCGGGCTTGCAGGGCGTCCCGCAGCGGGGGCTCAAGTCGACACCTCAGGCCTGTGGCGATCCCATTCTCAGGCGTGACGCTGCTATGTGCTACCATCCTACAGACTGGGCCCGCCGGTGTGGTCTTCCATAGCCTCCGGGGCCTGGGAAGCACTACTGCGATGGGGCTCTCCTGCAAGGCAAAAGAAACAAGCCACAAATCAGGAGAAGGTCTACCAGGAAGGAACAGCCTCTTGAGAAAAACCACAAAGCTTTGGCTGATCTGCCCTAAGTAAAGACAAGACTCCCGTCTGAGCGAGCTCATTCATGTCCTCTTCTCTCTCTCTCTCTCTCTCTCTCTCTCCTTTGAAAAGGGAAAAAAGAGCACCAGGCTAAGTAACGTTTACACATGCTCGCAAGTGGTTTCCTCTCCTCAGCCGCAGAATGCATCAGAGGCCCACTGATGGGAACCGCCGGTTCAGAAGCCCGCCTTTCCCATCAGTTGATTAAACCCGATAGCGCTGTTACTTACACAGCGCTAGAATTTATCTCCGAGGCTGCTCTCCGTCCAGGAACAAACTCACCCCACACACAAAAAAGGTGTCACTTCCGAGTAAATTATTTCACCCCTCCTGCCCCACCGTAGTAAGATGATGCAGTCCACGCTCTCCCTTTTATTTTTTCCAGACCCCCTTTAGTTTTGCTCTGAATGTTTATGAAGAGAAAGAGGAGGAGTTTTCAGAGAATTTTATATATGTCTCTTTCTGAATGAATAAATGCAGGGCTCTAGAACAGCGGTTCTCAACCTGTGGGTCCCCAGATGTTGTTGGACTACAATTCCCATCATCCCTGAGCTCTGGCCTTGCTAGCTAGGGGTGATGGGAGTTGTAGTTCAACATCTGGGGACCCACAGGTTGAGAAAGGCTGCTCTAGAAGAAGGGGCTGTGGCTTACTGGGGCAGCTGTATGCTGCAGTGGGGAGGAGAGTTGGAATCATATAATTGTTGGAAGGACACCCCAGGGTCATCTAGTCCAACCCCCTGCAACGCAGGAATCAGTGTGGAGTTGTGCAAGAGAAATGTCCCTGCGGATCATGCCCCACCATTCCTGCTCTTGCCGCAGCCTTTGCTGGCCTGGGACTCCCCCCTCCAGATGTTTCTGGAGCGCACCTCCCATCCGCACTGCTTTGATGGCTGAGGCCGGTGGGAGTTGCTAGCCCCAAACATCTGGAAGCCCCCAGGTCAGCAAAGGGTGCTCCACCTCTGTGTTTCGAAGCATGGGAACTCAGGAAAGAGTGGGGTTTCTCCAGTTTGGGAAACAAATCCCCCAGAGCAGAACACAGCTTGCCAATATGAATAGATTCTTTTGTGCAAACCAAAAATAATAATAACGTGCGGTTTGCCCGCTTGCCAAATCACTGAGTAATCCTAGATCGCCTTCTTGAAGAAGTGCTCTCCCCCCCCACTACGCAGCCCCCCCCCATCTCATGGGATCTTAAGGCTATAATCTCCCCATGCACACACAAATCAACCCCTGTGAACTTGTAAAGCATTATTCCACTTGCTCTTAGACTCTCTCTCTCTCCCTCTTTTTTAAAAAGAAGAATTGCTTTAAGTGGTCCAGTTTAAATGGCTTCCTATTATTGATATATCTTCAGCATCCACCGGTGGGGAGGCAGGCAAAGCCTTTCCCCAGCCGAAACTGCTTGTAACTGCCAGGGATGAGTTCCTAGCCTCCAGCATCCACTAACCCCTGACAGCTCATGGGTCGATACATCTCCTTCACCTGCCTTGACCTTCCTGGCAAGCATAGATTTTAGGATTTATCCCCCCCGGTCAGTTTATAGATCTCGGTTGGCACATCACTGAGAATGCACAATGCATTCTCAGAAATCTGAGCCTCCCAGGTACGCCTGGAGGTCTGCAGCCGGTCAGATTCTGAGTCGTCCGTAAGGTGACACAGACTCTCTAATTGCTTCCAAGTTGAGGGGAAGCAACAGCTGGCATCTGTAAAGGCTCCATAAAGTGCAGGATTCGGATCTCGCTGCAAGACGAGCAACTACCACTGCCAGGCAACGATGAATAATATTAGGAGTCATGAAAATTTTACGGGACCTCACGAACGGGAAATGACTGATCTGACAAGGCGCTGAGTCGGCAGCTGGTTGCCCCGGGACCACCGTAGGCTCAAATAGGATGGAGCAGGAAAAGAACGGGGGGGGGGGGGCTTATCTCAACCCTCTCCACCTCACTTTTCGGCACCCAACATGCTATTGCTATCACAAGCAAAGCGATCTGGATCATGTGTTGCGATGCTACCACAAAGGTCTCCCATCCATGCCCTCCAATTCTGCAACATTCTTTCTTCTCCAAAGAGCCTTGTGCAACTCCAAAGCTTGCTTCCCTTAACCTGCCCACAAAGGAGCCCTGTGTCACTCAAAAGCTTGCTACTTTGCTCCTGGAAACGGCCTGTGTGGTTTTATTTTATTATATAGTATTGTAATAAATCTGTAAAAGGCCTTGCCTTTGAAAGAGAGCACAGGGAATATTTGGGGCAAGGCAAACACGGATAGATTATACTGCAGTAGGTGGTTCTTACGCATCACAGATACATCACTGTAATCCAAATACTAATCCTTTTCTGGACAAGCTTTGAAGAGAACATTTAACTGCCATATAGTTCATCTACATACTGAGGATGAGGTTAAGCCTGTTCCTCCAGAATTTTAAGGGTTTGGGGGAGGGAGGGGGGAAGGATAAAAGGAGCGAGCCATATCTACCAACACCTCATTAAATCTGCAATAAGACTTCTACCGAAGTTTGGCACAAACTTCCTAAACAAGGAAATCTTCAGGCGAAGGGGCAAAGGAAAGGGAAAAGCAGTTTGGGAAGAGCTTTGTTTTCGTAAAAACAAACGAAGGCGCCCTCCTCAAAAGACCCCTCTCTCTCTCGCCGTCGCTCTTTTCCCCACCAACCTCCGTTTGGGAGGAACCGCGGGCCGCTTGCGTTTCAAAGCCGTCACCCTAACGCAATCAGACGCGAGAGAGAAGACCGAAAGAGAGACGTTTCAAGGCGGCGCCTTTTGAAGCGGCGCTCCAGATCTCCGCGGCTGCTCGGCTCCACATTTGCTAAAGGTCGCTGCGATCCGTTTCGGGTTGGGTTTTTGCGTGTGTGGTTTTTTTTTAAAGTGCGCCTGGTGTTTTTTTCTCTCCAAGCTGCAATCCTGCGCTTTGGGGAGGGGGGCGCGTTTCCTTCCAAGCAAAGCAGCTCTGCTTTTTATTTATTTTCTATTTTTTTTGTCCCCGCTCCCTAAAATACCCCTTCGCCTTCCCCGCACCAAAATGTCTCCAGAATCCTGCTCTGCCTCCCCCCCGGGGGTTGGAGGAGAGAATCGGCATCTCTGCCTGGCGCAACCCGGAGCGTCCGCCTTACCTCGGGGACGCGCCGCTGCTTCTTAACCCGAGGGGACCGGCACTCCTGAGAAGGGTGGCCGTCGCCGCCGCAGTCGCTGCTGTCGCCTTCCAGCGCCCGGCCGTGGCACCGCCTCCGCTGGGAGCTGCTGCTGCTGCTGCTGCCGCCCTGCCGGGGCTCGGCAGCCGCATCATCCGCTCGGGCCGCCGCGAAGCCACGTCGAGGGGCGCTGCTGCGCGGGACCGAGGCTGCTGTTCCTGTCGAGGCCGCGGCCGTCTCTCCTGATCGCCGCAGCTGATGGCTTTTTAACCCGCCTCCCTCCCTCCCTCCTCCTCGGTGCTAGCACCGCCCTCCCTCCCTCCCTCCCTCCCGCGGTTCTGCGAAAACACGTGCCTGCGCCTCTTCGCCGAACACTTTCGCTTTCCGTCCCGGCAACATCAAAGGCGCCTCTGGAGGGGAGGGAGCTGGAGGGGGCGCGGACGCTACGCGCATGGGGCCGAGGCAGGGCTGCAACCCACCTTTACCTGCAAGCTGCGAGTGCCGGATTTACGGATAAGCTAAACAAGCTATAGCTTAGGGCCCCACTCTCTTGGGGGCCCCCAAAAAAAATTAAAGGAAAAAAAAACTGGAGGTACCTTTCCAAAATATAAAATAAATATAAGATAAAAAACAAAGTAAAACCTGCGTACAGCAACAGTGGCAGATGGCTTTTCTATTAGGTCCATAAATTGCCATATATAGCATATATTCAACACAAAAAACAGCGGCAATCTGTTGTTGACAAAGGACAGCTGGACATAGAAAGGGCCCCATAACCTTCAGTAGCTTAGGGCCTCACCAGACCTAAATCCGGCCCTGCCTGCAACCCCAGGGGTGCAAACCTTGATGAAATTTTTTTTTGGGGGGGGGAGAGCAAGGCAGGTAAGCCCTGCCCCACACAATCGATCCCATATCGCACTATTTGAATGGCAATGCCCATCGACAGAGTTGGCTCCTATGCGCCCCCCCCCGTTTCTCCCCGGCGCGCCTAGCCCAGAATTCGGGATCCGGCGCGAGGGCTCCTGAGCGCGTGCAGAGTGCGTTCCCTCACCTCCGCGGAGAAGCTGCTGCAAGCGGGCTGGCACCAGTCTGGCATGCCACCGGTCTGTGGCACCGCGCGAATCCCCGCAGCCCTTTTCTGTCCCCAGAGAGGTGCGCACTTACTCGGGAGTAATCCCCGTTGCACTCGGCGGGACATGCCCCGGGTGGATTTGCAGTGTTTGTTTAGTTGGGGGCTCCGAGCTGCGACTGCAGCCCTCAGAAGAGGTAGCAGGTTCTCCTGGCCGAAGGGGGACTTGCTCCCGAGTAAAACCTACTCCGGGTTTGGGCTCCCCGGGTTATAAATAGAGGGTGTTTTCAGCGCTGCCAGGCGCCCGTGCGCATCTTTCCGGCGTTGTGCGGCGTAAGAACAGGTTGAGAGGGGCTCTGAGCACGTGCAGAGTGCGTTCCTTGCATTCAGAGAGCCGCAGCCGCTCCTCCCAGGGAAGCTTGCGCCTGCGCCAGGGAAGTGCCATAGAAATCCACTGAGATGTGCAGGATAATTGAATAGTGGCCTAGCTGCATGATATCTCAGTTGGTTAGAACGCAGTGCAGATAATGTCAAGGTTGCAGGTTTGATTCCCTAACGGGACAGCTGCATATTTGGGTTGGACTGAGATGATCCTCAGTTCCCTTCCAATTCTAGAATTAAGAGCAGGCACCATCTGACCTCCACGTAAGCAAATCAGGAGGATGAATGTTCAATAAATAAATTTAATTTAATCTCATTTTTAGAAAAATGTTATGGAAAGAGATTGTTTTTAATTTCTATAAAAGGAGGGTCTCGTGCAGCAGGCGGCTTTCTGTTTGAATCTGGAAGTTCTCCCGGTTAGGGAAGGACTTCTCTGCAGTTTTCAAGGAGCAAGAGGAAATGTACTTTGCACATGCATAGAGAGGTCCTTTCAAGTGTTCATTTAAAATGCATGTGTGGTGTTGTTGTTGTCCTTGAAGAGAAAACTACTCCAGGGTGGTTTCTAGAAAAGCACAAGCCAATTTGTTCATAATAAAATCAGGCTAGCGATTAATAATATAAATGGCCTGAGATTACTAACGCCTGGCAAAACCAGCCTCTGAGCAAGTGATGTGCAAGACAATGAGGGGAGTCTGTTGTCTTCATGGCCCAAAGTGGACCATCAATTCTGCTGGGCTGGGATTCAGAAGCAGGCCACCCAGGATCCTCAAGGTAGCCCTCATGAGGACTAGTAGCAGTTTATATATCTTTCTCATAGCGTTTTTATTAGGTCTCCAACAATATGTCAAAGCATTTCTCATCATGTACAATTTTTTTAAGCATACAATTTTCTTGACTTCCCAGCCCACCTTTCCTGATATTTTTGCTCCTTTTTATCAGCTGTTTTATAACATATAAAAGGTAAAAGGTAAAGGACCCCTGGACAGTTGAGTTTGACTTTGGGGTGTGGCACTCATCTCCACTTTCAGGCGGAAGGAGCCGGTGTGTCTGCAGACAGCTTTCCGGGTCATGTGGCCAGCATGGTTAAACTGTTTCTGGAGCAACGGGACACTGTGACGGAAGCCAGAATGCACAGAAATGCCGTATACCTTCCCACCACAGCAGTACCCATTTATCTACTTGCACTGGCATGCTTTCGAATTGCTAGGTTTGCAGGAGCTGGGGCAGAGCAACGGAAGCTCACCCCGTTGCGGGGATTCGAACTGCCAACCTTCTGATCAGCAAGCCCAAGAGGCTCGGTGGTTTAGACCACAGCATGCATTTTTATTATCTAAACCCCGCTAATGTTAAATCTTTCAGTAATCAACTGCTTATATTTCAAATCCTGCCTGCGACTTCATATGTTGGTGATAATCGGATAGGTAATCCATCTGCATTCCTCCTTAAACACTTCGTCATTTTGCCCTCTTAATTTGGCAGTTAATTTCGCCATTACAGCATATTCCATCCATTTCATAAGCCATTCCTCCTTAGTTGGTAATCCTTTCTATTTCCACTCAACCCGTAGCCATTTATAGACCTTGTGGTTGGCATCCGTCTGTCTCGAAAGACAATGGAGTGTGCCTCCACGGGTGAAGCCAAACGGCTGTGTTAGCAGCATTGAAGTGACCTCCCTGGGGCGCAAGCTTGGGCAGTGTGTCTGGAGCTCCTAGGGTGTGCCCAGGACAAGACCCCCCTCTCGGCCTCACCGATGGCAGGCAGCATCAAAGGAAAGCAGAGCAATTCATTTGGCCCCAGCTGGGGTGCAGGAGTTGCCAGAAGAAGGCGTACAAGACACCATCCAGCTGTCTTAGGCACACACTGGAAACTTAAAAAGGTAAAGGACCCATGACAGTTAAGTCCAGTCGTGAACGACTCTAGGGTTGTGGCGCTCATCTCACTTTACTGGCCGAAGGAGCCGGCGTTTCTCCGCAGACAGTTTTTCCGGGTCACGTGGCCAGCATGACTAAGCTGCTTCTGGCAAAACCAGAGCAGCGCACGGAAACGCTGTTCACCTTCCCGCCAAAGCGGTACCTTTTATCTACTTGCACTTTGACATGCTAGGTTGGCAGCAGCAGGGACCGAGCAACGGGAGCTCACCCCGTCACGGGGATTCGAACCGCCGACCTTCTGATTGGCAAACCCTAGGATCAGTGGTTTAGCAACTTAGGTTGGTGCGATTAACATGGATTTTTACATGTTCCATTTTCCTAGTGCAACAAATCAGCGTTATGAACGAAATTGGGCTTCTTGCTGTTAGGAAAGTGGCAAGGAAAAGTGTAATATGAATGGATATTTAATGGGATGATGCTCATTCCCTGCAAACAAATTGGATTCAGTGCTCCCTAGTCTCACTTCCGTGTGTAAGTTTTGTGAGGGATGAAGGCCCAAGAAACAGGTTGTGTGATGGAGCCCTTGTTTCCACCAACAGGGCCCGTTTTCTGTTGTTCTCAATGGACCGCAGATGCTTCCATGGGCTTTGGATCAATGAGCAGCTATTAACAAAGACATCCGAGAATGGAACCTCTGCATCCAGAGGGCAGTCTACCTCTGAACGCCAGGTGTTGGGGACAAGCCACAGGGAAGTGATGTTGCCACGACATCCCGTTTGCTGGCTTCTTATCTGGCTGAGGGTTTTTTGGAAATCAGACTGCTGCATTTGATCCAGAAAAGCAATTATTAACCGCCACTAAAAAAGGACAGGGCGACTTTCTGCTTAGTGGAAAAAGGGGGAGATCTGCCCCTCGCTGTCTAATTGTGCCCCTCAAGCATCACTTTCTGTTCTTCAGAACTAAGGACCCGATAAGTCCAATATAGATCCAAGAAACCAGACAGAGGCAAAGAAAAGGAAAGAGAAACCAGGTCAATTTATGCTCAGAACTGCAGATTCTTGGAAAGCTTTGAGCCATTCAAAACTATCATATCAGTCCCTGCTGACAAATATCATTATATGTCTGTTCTTAAATTTTTTTCTCTTTCTGTTCATGCTCATGCAGGAGTGCCAGCTTGGTCCCACGACTGTGGGTGACCAGGGCAGTGGGTGCCAGGCAGCGTGCATGGCCCTGGTGCCGCAATTTGTGGGTGCCCGGCCCCTTCATGGGGAATTTTGTGGGCGCTTCGGCCCCCAGGGAGCCGGCACCTATGTATTCATGGTGGGAGTAGGGCGGCCAATAAAGCGAGATGAGCGCCGCAGCCCCAGAGTCGGCCACAACTGGACCTAATGGTCAGGGGTCCCTTTACCTTTACTACCTGGGGTTAAGTACTTAATTCGTTCTTAACCTGAAACTGTTCTTAACCTGAAGCACCACTTTAGCTAATGGGGCCTCCTGCTGCTGCCACGCTGCTGGAGCACGATTTCTGTTCTCATCCTGAAGCAAAGTTCTTAACCCAAGGTACTATTTCTGGGTTAGCGGAGTCTGTAACCTGAAGCGTCTGTAACCCGAGGTACCACTGTATTATTCTTAGTCATGCTGAAAAAGCAACACTTTCTAGGGCAGTGGGTGGCCTGACAGCATGAGCTGTGTGTTCGGCCACTTATCATATGCAGACAAAGGGTGTTTGGCTATTTTAGCAGCCTAAGCATATCGGCTTCTGCTTGTTCTTTAGAAGCAAGTTCCTGGTCCATAAGGATGCCCAGATAGGCTTGTAAATCTCTGAGCTTTGCTTGCAGAAGAAAAATTGGGAGCCAAGGCAGAGGGCTTAGCAACACGGTGTTCATTGACCGGGTGACCTGAATGCCCCACATAGTTCTCCTGCGTGACAAGTTATGCAATGAAAACCTAATATCTAAATCTGGATGTCAGTCCCTCTAATAGCCAACTCAGAAAGCGAGTGCCGTGGACTATATGGAACTGGCGGAAATGACTGGCAGAATCCGAGACCAGGGAGAAGAGTCGGTGGAAGAAGGCTGGAAAAAGTTTAAAGACTATTTACAGAAATACTGTAAAATTAATGAATGTTAGAAAAATGTTGGAATGAAGTTATATGGCTTTAGTAGAAATGTTATAAGGAATTAAGTATAAATAGATTAATAGAGAATTAAAGGGAAAAATAAGGTTAGAATGTGTTAAGATAATTATAGGATAGAAAACAGAGGAAGATGGAAAGGAATTGCTGAAACAATTAACAGAAGTGGAATACAAAAAGGGAGGTGCGAGGAGGTCGTGGAAATAAGTGAATGAAAGATAAGATATTGAAATTGTTTGATGTGTTTAACTTTTTGTTTTGTTTTGTTAGTTTAATGTGTTAGTGTTATGTAGTGTTTTTGTATTGTATTGTATTGTTTTTGTAGTGTTTAAATTGTTGGAAAAGTAATAAATATTACATTTTTTAAAAAAAGAAAGCGAGTGCCGGCCGCTGGTGGTGCAAACACTGAGCCGCTGGGAAACAAAACCCAAACCATGGAGTCGGTAATGAAACAAAGGGCAAAAAGGAGAAGGTGAGGGTTCACTGCAGCTTTGTGTTGCAGTTTGCACTTTCTGTTACTGCCGCAGGCCACAGAACTTGACTTCTCTGCGTGCAGAAGGAGGGCTGCCTTCCAGGGCTTATAGAAAAAGAGGGTCTGGCGCAGCAGTGTGGCTCCAATGAAACAAAACACCTGAGAATTATTTCCTGGGTGTCCCATAGCACAGCCTGTGTGTAACTAGTGTCTGTGGTCCAGAATAGCACTTTCCATCTTTGGAAGCCTAACCACTTGCCAGCTCCTTTGAACAGTTTGATCTGACCATCAGATGCCTTGCTGGGAAAAGCGAATCGGGGAACAGCTGCATCGCAGATCCTGTTAAGAGAGTATGCATTGGTGAGAACATCTCAGTAACCATAAAATGCTCAGAAGTAGGCAGACACCGTGTCCGTTGTGATCAGGTGTGCCAAGCAGAAACTGAGATTGAAAGTGTTTCTGCTAAGAGAGTTTAGATGAGAGGAAATGTGCTTCAGCAGATGAGAAGTGAGGCCGTTCATTCCCAGAACATGCTGCGTTGAATCCTAGAAGAAAGAGAAAATGAGAGAAAGCCATTGAGTGGGGAACCTCAAGCTCAGTAGCATAAAATCATAAAATTGTAGTCCAACCCCTTGCAATGCAGGAATCTCAAGGAAAGCAACCCTGACAGATGGCCTTCCAACCTCTGTTTAATTATCTGTTTTAGGATTTTTCCTGGCATCAGCGTCAAGTTGACTGGTCAGCAGTAACCTGGGTCTTCTCCCCCCCCCCTTTTGAAGATAACATTTGACCGCCTTCAGTCTGCAGGCACCTCACCTATTCTCCAATAATTCTCAAAGATTAGAGACAGAAGCTCTGAGAAGTATCTTTTAGCCTGGATGCAGCTGGTCAGACCCTGGAGATCTAAATTCATTTAAAGTAGCCAGGTGTCTCCCCCATCCCCCCACCATTTTTCCTTACCTTGGGCTGCAGCTCCCTCCTTGCATCATTTATTCTGTTATCACCAGGCTGAGCACTGCTTTTGGGTGAAGACAAAGTAGGTGTTCTCTGTCCCTCAGTAGCACTTCTCCATCTTCTCCACGCACAAGACCTACTGCTTTGTTCTTCCTCTTGCTTCGAACATGGCCAAAGAAACCTGTTGTTATTACAGTGGTACCTCGGGTTAAGTACTTAATTCGTTCCGGAGGTTCATTCTTAACCTGAAACTGTTCTTAACCAGAAGCACCGCTTTAGCTAATGGGGCCTCCTGCTGCAGACCGCGAGAGCACGATTTCTGTTCTCATCCTGAAGCAAAGTTTTTAACCCGAGCTATTATTTCTGGGTTAGCAGAGTCTAACCTGAAGCATCTGTAACCTGAAGCGTCTGTAACCTGAGGTACCACTGTATTGCTAACCTCTCTTGCAAGCCTGAGCTCATTCTAAGCTTTAGCCCTCCTGACCTTCTCCCTGCGACTGTTGGCTACTCGTGTCTACTCCTCCTTTGTGATTTCCCCTTTCTTCCATTTCTTATACTTGCCATTCTTAAATCTCAGCTCATCTGCAAGCCATACCGGTTTCCTTAGATGCCTCCCGCTTTTCTTTCTTGTTGGTATTGTCCGCATTTGCGCCTTCAATAGTCCACCTTCAAGAAACTCTCATCCATCTTTGACCCCCATCTTTTTGGGTGTTTCTGACCATGAGATCTCTCCCAGTAGCTCCTCAAGCTTTTTGAAACCAGCTTCCTTAAAGTCCACTGTGCACGTCCGACTGCACTCAGCTTTCCCTTGCCTCTGCGTCATGAAACCCAAGTAGTGTGGTACTAAATTCAGAAGTGATGGGTCCCTTCTAAGATTATGCCACCTTCTTAGATTATACAGTGCTGTTATAATTATACAGTTATGCAATAATAATAATTATGGATGCTTGACTCATGCACATCTTCATGTCTTGCCTTTCAGCTAGATCTTTTCTCTCTTTCTCTCTCTCTCTCTCTCTCTCTCTCTCACACACACACACACACAGTTTTATTGCAGTCCACAGACCCAAAATACACACTACAGCAATTCATTCATTCAACAGTATATATCAACAGTTATTAAGGTGCAAGAGTGGCCTTACTAGCTGACAGAGGAGCATAAGCCTAGGATTATCATATTTCAAAAAGTAAAAACCAGGACACCCCCGAAAGTTGTTTTTTTTAAACAAATCCCAAAATTGTTGAGCTTTCCCCCCCAAAAAATGCAAAAAAACCAACCCCGTGATTTTTCTATTGACCTGCCTAAGATCCAACACAAGGTGCTGCCTTTCGGAAATTTCCCTGGATTATCAATTCTGCCATTCAAATCCCGGTAATGTCTGGGAAAATCTGGATGTCTGGCCGCCCTACTTTAGCCTGTACATGTTGATTTCTGATTCTGACTGCCTCTGAGAGGAATTTTGCGGCAGCCAGTATCGATCTAATCCTCAAGAAGAACATGGTCAAATGACTTGGTGCGCTTCAACATCTATCGGAGTGATTTGTGCCTTCTGTGAAACTTCATGGTCCATAGCAGAACTTGCATGCCATTCTCTTGAAACTTGAAGCATTTTGTGTTTTTAAGTGTTCCTAAATGCTTGAACAAACTCCTTCTCCACAGTGACCCTAGGAGCCCATCCTCAGTGACTGACTCCCCTCTATTCACCCTGATTGTCGGGATACTTCTCAATGGCTAAAAGGCTCCCCTTTGAGAGCCAGTGTGGTGTAGTGGTTAAGAGCAGTGGACTTGTAATCTGGTGAACCGGGTTCGCTTCCCCGCTCCTCCACATGCAGCTGCTGGGTGATCTTGGGCTAGTCACACTTCTGTGAAGTCTCTCAGCCTCACTCACCTCGCAGAGTGTTTGTTGTGGGGGAGGAAGGGAAAGGAGAATGTTAGCCGCTTTGAGACTCCTTCGGGTAGTGATAAAGTGGGATATCAAATCCAAACTCCTCCTCCTCCTCTTCTTCTTTGATGCTCTCGGATGCTGGAGGAAGGGACGCTGTTGCAAAAATGATAATGGGACTTTGATCCCCCACACCTCTGGACCGCTACACCACTGTTCTCCAGGCCGCAACCCTCTCCCCATTCCACACCCCACACCATCCTTGCTTCCCATCCTCTCCAAGCGGATTTTCCTGGCTGTAATGGTTCCTTGAGCTCTGATAATGACTCTTGCTTGCCTGACTAGAGGGCAGGGAGCAGCGTGTGGAGTAGAAACTTAGCCTGCTATGCAATTTACATTATTGGTTACTGCACCCACCTTTGTCACTGACCCCCACCCACCTCTTCTGTGTGGCCCCCAGAAGGGTCTGTGGCCCTCGAGCTGGAAAGGTTGACGTAGAGCATTGGGTGACGGATGCTCAGAAATGCGTGGCATTACTTTCAGCAGCCAGAAGCATCATAACCAGACACTGGAGAGACCTGTCAGGAGTAAGCATGGACCAATGGTACCAAATAGTATGGGAAACAGCCCTACTAGAAAAAGTAACCAATAAACTGTAACTGACACGGGGACAAATAGAAGGAGACACCTTCAGCCCGGTATGGCTCCCCTTTATCACATACACAGTCCAACAAGACAATGACAAAAATCCACCAACAGCATACAAATCAGTATGGCTAACCTGATCCAAAACACCCACCCACCCACCTCACTCACACATGAAAACAAAGACCACCACAGCCAACTACAAATGAATAACCACACCCTAGGCCAACCCCAACCTCTCTCACCACCAAAGGAACACAAGCGAACAGCAAAGAACCTGCACAAGCAACGCTGACACCAAACCCTACATATAGTAAGTGAAATAGAAACATCGCCATCCGACCCCCCTCCCCATCTTCCCCACCACCACCTCTTTCCCACTATTCTTCCTAATGTCTCAACAAATGAAACTGATTTGTAAAAATGTTACATGGCGGGGGAAATACGAGAGAGAGACATTGCAAACACTTTTGTAAATCAAGAAAATCTTTAATAAAAAAAGAAAAGAAATGTGTGGCATCATTGCGCCGGTGGAAGAGGAACCGCTGTTTCAATAGGAAACACAGCAAACAGCGAATGGGAGGAAGGCAAGGCAAAAACAGGTGAGTTGATAAGCGAGTGGGACTTTTCAAAGCTTCTGGCAATGAGATAAGATACTGGGCAAGGGACAGGCAATAGCTGAGCTGGAACGGCTATAAGGAACATGTCCAAATCTCAGGGAAAAGAGGGGAAAACCTCAGGGCATAGGCACGATCCTGGCATCTGAGTCATGGGATCTAAGCTCTTCCCAGATGCAATCGAGTTTCACCCTCTTAGGTATTTTTGCAGGGGACTCCCCCATCTCGTAATTGTCCTTTGCGACACTTGCTGAGTCAATCAACTTACCTGAATCAGCTTGACCGAAATTGAGGGCTTGATTTATCTGATCTATCGCTTATCTGGCTGGGGAAGGGCCCAGGGCTCAGAGCCCAAGTTCTGAATGCAGGTGCTGCCCCCAGCCAGCAGGTGAGAGGCTCAAAACTCTCTTAATCAATCTTTGTCTTGTTTTGTAAGCTAAAGGGAGGCATCCTGGCTGCAAATCTCCAGTGGGGGGCTGGCATGGAGGCAAGGGGTGCAATTTACTCCCTGATGGATTTACATTTCCAAAATGCCCCACCGCCCAGATGTTTTTAGTCCCATGACTATTGATGGAAGAATCTCTCGATTTGAGCTCTCTCAGTTTCTCATGTTCAACCGATCTTAAATTCGCTTCTCCACATGTTGCAGAAATCTACAATATTAAAATCCTTGCAAAAACCCTTCTACATTTAGTGTACATTTCTCCAAATAAACACAAATGTATGTGCATTTTTGACGTAATGCATGCATTTTGGCAAGCAATTTCCCCGAATAGAATGCGTGTTTTGCATGGTGTTGTGTGTGTGTTTTTTAACCTAATATCTTTATTTTAATGCACACTATCCCCAATATATTCATTTTTGAAAACATTTTTGGGTGGTGGCAGGGGGGGAAGAACTCTATTGCAAAATTCATGTAATAGTGAATTTTGGAGGAAAGCTGTTTTTCAGTTCTCATACTATGGAGCTACCTTTGAAGGTGACTGAGAAACTAATCCAGAATGCGGCAGCTAGACTGGTGACTGGAAGTGACCTCTGGCAGCATATAACATCGGTCCGGAAGGATCTGCATTGGCTCCCAGTACGTTTCTGAGCACACTTCAAAGTGTTGGTGCTGACCTTTAAAGCCCTAAACAGCTTTGGCCCTGTACACCTGAAGGAGCGTCTCCACCCCATCTTTCAGCCCCGACACTGAGGTCCAGCACTGAGGGCCTTCTGGCAGTTCCCTCCCTGTGAGAATTGAGGTTACAGGGAACCAGGCAGAGGGCCTTCTCAGTAGTAGTAATAGTAGTAAATTTATTTATTCATACATACATACATACATACCCTGCTCATCTGGCTGCGTTTCCCCAGCCACTCTAGGTGGTGTTCAACAAAATACTAAAATACAATAGTGGCGCCTGCCCTGTAGAACGCCCTCTTGTCAGATATCAAGGAGATAAAGAACTATTTGACTTTCAGAAGACATCTGAAGACAGCCCTCTGTTGAGAAGTGTTGGATGTTTTACTGTGGTTTTATAATTTGTTGGAAGCGGTCCAGAGTGGCTGGGGCAAACGAGTCAGATGGGTGGGGTACAAATAATAAAATTGCTGCTGTTGTTGTTATAAGCATAGGCAATCGCATCTGTAGAGAAGGACAAATTCATACCATCCTTACTCCAGGCAAGCAAGAGAGGCCTGGGCTTCCCTACACATTTAGGTCCTCAAGCCTAAGATTCCCCACTGCTGGTTTAAAAAGAAAGATCTCCAAGGAGGCTTTGACATTGCCCACCAGCAGCTTGCATCTGTATAGTGAACTAAGCAGGTGGACGGCTCACCTGCTGGCAGCCTTCCATGCTATGGCGAGACGCACTGCATGTCGACATGTGCAAACATCGTGCAAATCTGCACCTTCATTTGCCCTCCGTCTTGGGGGTGGATAACTTGGCTACTTCAGTGGGGCCGGTCTCCTGACCTTGCATAAAGCGCCTCCGTACGCTGAGCCCTCTGCCCCCCCAACTACCAAAGGTCCTTTCCTATTAATGTGCCCTGTGATCAGCAGAAGGTTCAGATCTGTTTACCCTTGCAATTCCCAGAAAGCATGTGCTCTCGTTGCACCGGTTCAATCTCTGCAAAGGTTTCGCTTTTGCTTTCCGCCTGAGCTCTCAAGAGGACAAACGAAGATTTCACAGGCGGCATTTAACAGCAGAGATGGCACGAGCTGCGTTTTCCCCATCTGACACCTGGCAGCAGCTGTTCATTCCCTTCGGACTGCAGCAAGAGGCAAAAAGAAGTCCATAGCATCAGCTTTCAGCAATCCCTCTCCTTGAACTGTTTCCATCCTGGCTTCTTATTAAGAACTCAACTCAGCTTTAAGAAGCGACGCCTGGTTTGGCTGCTTTTCCTCTTCTCTCCCCCTCCCTTTTTTCCTTTCATGCTGTGTCTTTTAGATTGTATTCCTGAAGGCAGAGTCTTGTCTTGTTTTCAACTGATCTTACATCTCTGGGAGGGCTTTTTGGCTAAAGAGCTCACATTTGCGTGCGTTGGTGCTTCAAATAAATAAACACCCCCTCAGTCAAAGAGCTAGGTGCTAAGATTCACACCATCTGCCTGCCACCATTAGACCCTCCTTGCCAGCAGCAGAAATTGAAAGATGCCCTTATAAAGGGGAGAACATCCAGGATTTTAGCATAGCTTGCTCTTGTCGTTATCTTTTCTTATTGGGTGCCCTTTGCGGCTCTTCAAACCAAGAGGCGCAGGAGTACACCCATCTCTTTTTGGGGAGTTGACCTCAGATGCCCTCCCTTGCATTCGATGTTTCCAAGGAAGATGGTTTGTTTACAGTGCAAACAACTGGGCCACAGGTTACTCATCCGTTCTGAGGAACCTGGATCTCTTCCTTTCTAAGAACAACGTGTTGCATTGACTAAAAGATGCCGTTGCACCCTCCCCAAACACCCTCACACCTTTGCACCCAACATAATGGCATAATTTATTTGGGCTGTCCTAGAGTTTTGTAAGGACCTATTGGCTAGCACCAGTAACATCACAGGTGAACAGCAGCACTCCTCTCCACAGGCCTGCTCCCTACTGATGACCCTTTTTTTGTGCAAGGAAGGAACATCCTCAGCTTCTGTCCTTGAGATCAATGGCCACTGAAACAAACCAGAAATCCAGCTGCAGGCGGAAATCTCTTTCCAGAGACATGTTTCTTGAGCAGCCGTTCTGATTTGTTCAAATGCAAATGGGCGCTTTTCTGAAGAACTGTTTCCCAAGAGGCGCCTCTGGTAAAAGAGACTGCAGAAAACCAGCTTCCCCCTCGACCAGTTACAAAGAATGGACAGGCCTGGAATGCAAAAGTCCTTTATCAACTGCTGTGCATGATATCAGTTCCAGATAGCTGTCATCATCTTGAATTCTAATGAAAGCCCTTTTTGGGTGGAAGCGGCTTATCAAAAAGCCCAGGGAGATGCGGAGTGATAGATCATTTGAGAAAGAAAGGGGAGGGTGTTGGTTCTTGTGGTCCTTGCTGGAAGAAGGTTTCTCCTTCTGCAGGTCTGAGCACTCCTGCTGGGAAGAAAGGCCCCGTTGAACCCTGCAGGACTCCTTTCCAAGCAATCGTGCACCAGCTCTTGCATCTTCAAAGAGGGCTTGTTCAAGGCAGCCCCGGCAGACATGGACCTGCTTCCCTGTGCAAAACGGGCAGCTGAGCTCTCAGCCCTTCTAGGTTAAGACGGGAAGGATTTCAACAGGTCGTCTCTTCCAGGCATTGATGCAACTTGCATTCTGAGAAATCTCAGGCCATAACAGCCCAGCAGGATCAGGCCTAGTCCAGCATCCTGTTTTCGCAGCGAGCACAAAGATGTCCCAATGGGAAACCCACAAGCAAAATCTGAGTGCAACAGCACTGTCCTCAAACAGCACTGTCCTCACTTGCGATTTCCACCAGCTGATATCCAGAGCATGCTGCCTTTGTGGCTGGTGGCCCCTTTCCTCCATCAATGTTATCCTCTTTTAAAGCCATCCAAGATGGCGGCAAACCGGCGGCTGTTTGGAGCGAATTGGACAACGCTGGGTTTCGGGGTGATAGCCAGGACCCTCAGTTTTAATATCAATTGTTCCGTTTGTGGGGTGCTGCAAACGTGGGGTTTCCGCTGCAAAACTCTTGCCAAACTTTGGGCGCTCTTGGGTTTGGGGACATCAACTACGAACCCCGGGTTTGAGGTATCAGTTGTTCGGTTTGTGGGGTGTTGCAAAACACGGGGTTTTTGCTGCAAAGTGCTGAAAAACCATCCCTAACATACCTTTTCACAGCTGCCACACACTGGGTCAATAACTTAATTGAGCAATCCACTGCAACCCCAAAGTCTCGTTACCAGTCAGCTACCACCAGCTCAGCCACGATTAGCCTATATATGCGAAATTAGGATTTTGTGTCCCAGCATGCAACGCTGCACACCTCTCTACGCTGAACTGCATTTGCTGACGTGGTGTAGTGGTTAGAGCAGGGGTAGGCAACCTAAGGCCATTGGGCCGGATGCGGCCCAATCGCCTTCTCAATCTGGCTCGCGGACGGTCCGGGAATCAGCGTGTTTTTACATGAGTAGAATGTGTCCTTTTATTTAAAATGCATCTCTGGGTTATTTGTGGGGCCTGCCTGGTGTTTTTACATGAGTAGAATGTGTGCTTTTATTTAAAACGCATCTCTGGGTGATTTGTGGGGCATAGGAATTCATTCATCCCCCCCCCAAAAAAAAATATAGTCCAGCCCACCACATGGTCTGAGGGATGGTGGACGGACCCACGGATGAAAAAGGTTGCTGACCCCTGTGTTAGAGTGTTGTGCTGCGGCCCGGGAGACCTGGGTTCAAATCCCCACTCAACTATGAAGCTCACTGGGTGACCTTGGACCAGTCACTCACTCTCACCCTAACCTACCTCACAGGGTTGTTGTGGGAAGAGAGAACCATGGACACTGCCTTGAGCTTCTGGAATGAATAGGTGAAATATAAATAATGAGAATGATTCATAATAATGCTACAGTCCATTTGCCTAATTTGGAGAAATCTGTTGGGAGCTCTCCACAATCACTTTTTGTTTCAACCGTCCAGAAACCAGCACCTGTTGAATTTTTGCCTGCTCTGCAGATGTTATCGACGCAGAGCCCCTGCCCGCAGATAGGCGCCTGAAGATCTGGGACAGATTGTTCCAATGCAGCAGACCGGATCGCGGTGCGGGTTTTCTGGCCGCTGATTGGCTGTGGCGGTTGTGTGTTCTTTCCTCCGACGTATCGCCTCCTTTTTCTCGAGGGAGGTCTGCTTAATAAATATCTCTACTTCCAGTGATTCTTGCCATCAAAGCTGTTTCCTGAACTTGGTTTCTGATCCTCTTGAGAGATTGAAACTGTGGTTTCTGACTTTTTCTGAAAAAGGTGATTTCGGGGAAATTGAACCACACGCATATGAAACTGCAGAATATCAGCTCTGCCCATGGACCGCCGAGAGGGGTCCCTGATTCCTCCCAACTCCCAATTTCTCAGTAGAGACAGAGACGGGAACAACTTGTTCATGTTCTGTTGATGCAGTTGCTTGGGGTTAAAACAGCTCAAAGGAAAGTCTAGGTCTCTGTTGGGTATCCTGAGATAACATCATAACACTCATTTAAATCACTCTTACATCACTTTTAACAGTCATGAATTCCCCCCAAAGAATGCTGGGAATGGCCGTTTGTTAAGGGTGCTGGTATACTATTGTAATAAATAAAATAAAATAAAATAAGACTGCAAAGTGATGGCAGCCAATAGCCATTGGGGCTGGTAGGGTTAAGCAGTGTTAGAAACTGAGATATGCAAGCTAGGCGCCAAACGGCTCCTTAAACCAGGGTTATAGTCGCCAAAACTGAATGCCTGGCTGCCATTTTGGGGCCTGGTGGCTCAAGAGTTGTATTTTTCAATACGACTTTTTGGTTCCCAATATTCGTTCTGATGGCTCAGATAAAATATCGCTGATAGAATTCTACAGGATGTGTTGCTGGCGGGTGAAAACAGTCAAGGTCCAAGGATCCCCGGTTGGCGGAGATATCGAGCACCATCCTGGCACCCAGGCACCTTCACTGGGTCGCAAGTTGCCCATAAAAGGTAAAGGGACCCCTGACCATTAGGTCCAGTCGTGGCAGACTCTGGGGTTGCGGCGCTCATCTCGCTTTATTAGCCGAGGGAACCGGCGTACAGCTTCTGGGCCATGTGGCCAGCATGACTAAGCCGCTTCTGGTGAACCAGAGCAGCGCACGGAAACACCGTTTACCTTCCCGCCTGAGCGGTACCTGTTTATCTACTTGCACTTTGACATGCTTTCGAACTGCTAGGTTGGCAGGAGCACGGACCGAGCAACGGGAGCTCACCACGTCACGGGGATTCAAACTGCCAACCTTCTGTTTGGCAAGTCCTAGGCTCTGTGGTTTAACCCACAGCGCCACCCACGTCCCTACACACAGCCATAGGGTTGCCATATTTCAAAAAGTGAAAATCTGGACACTAAAGTTGTTGAGCTTTCTCTCTCTCCCTCCCCCTTCCCACCCAAGTTGGTTTTTGAGCTATTTTTTAGCAAATTCGCCAAAAAAAAAAGAGCAACACTTCCAACTTGGGTTGCCATACACCCTGGTTTCCCCAGATATTTTAACAGGTTTGTGGAAATTCCACCCGGACGCTGTTTCTGGTGGATGAATTCCAGATATCTCCGGAAGATTCTGGGTGTATGGCAGCCCTACACAACCATACTTTAGCCTGTTTTTGGAACTCTCTGCCTGGGCGGAAGCAAAACCCACTCTGCCCTAAACCGATGCAGATTCGACAGGAAGAGCTCAATACTAACATGGCTCAAATTGTTAGAGAAGTACAAGACAGTTTTGGGGGACAGGGGGTGGGCTGGTATTGAGGACTCCCTGGTCCTGCATGGGGTAACTGTGCCCCTGAAGGACCAGGTGCGCAGCCTGGGGGTCATTTTGGACTCACAACTGTCCATGGAGGTGTAGGTCAATTCTGTGTCCAGGGCAGCTGTTTACCAGCTCCATCTGGTATGCAGGCTGAGACCCTACCTGCCTGCGGACTGTCTCGCCAGAGTGGTGCATGCTCTAGTTATCTCCCGCTTGGACTACTGCAATGCGCTCTACGTGGGGCTACCTTTGAAGGTGACCCAGAAACTGCAATTAATCCAGAATGTGGCAGCTAGACTGGTGACTAGGAGTGGCCGCCGGGACCACATAACACCGGTCCTGAGAGATCTGCATTGGCTCCCAGTACGTTTCCGAGCACCATTCAAAGTGTTGGTGCTGACCTTTAAAGCCCTAAACGGCCTCGGTCCAGTATACCTGAAGGCGCGTCTCCACCCCCATTGTTCAGCCCGGACACTGAGATCCAGCGCTGAGGGCCTTCTGGCAGTTCCCTCACTGCGAGAAATGAGATTACAGGGAACCAGACAGAGGGCCTTCTCGGTAGTGGCACCCTCCCTGTGGAACGCCCTCCCTTCAAATGTGAAGGAAATAAGCAGCTATCTTATCTTTAAAAGGCATCTGAAGGCAGCCCTGTTCAGGGAAGTTTTTAGTATTTAATGCTGCATTGTTTTTAACACTCGATTGGAAGCCGCCCAGAGTAGCTGGGGAAACTCAGCCAGATGGGCGGGATATAAATAATAAATTATTATTATTATTATTACACGAGTTTCTTAATCTCAGGGTCGTGGGTTCGAGCCCCACATTGGGCAAAAAATTCCTGGATTGCAGGGGGTTCAGCTAGATGACCCCTGGGGTCCCTTCCAAGTCTATGATTCTATGATTCTGTTATTCTACTCTTGTGTGTGTTGTGCCCCAATGAAGCAGGCAAGCAGGTTGTGCACACATGCACAAGCACACAGCTGCAGCTGTTGCACCACATACAAATGTGGGGAGCGCCGGCAGTTGCAAATCCCCTTTGCCACACATTTTTGGCCCAGCCGAGCGACGGCCTGTGCAGTCATCACGGCAGACATATGCAAAGCGAGCGCGATGAGCGATGCGGCAGAGATTTCCTCCTGTGGCTTTGCCCTCTCACTGCCCCCCCCCCCAGCTTGGGAAACAGAGAAGCAGCCCATCTGAATCGATTTGCTTATTTCTGGGGCTTGTCTTCCGAGGAAGCGCTGCTTTTATCTGCAGTGCTTTGCAAAAGTTCCCATAATTAGATACTTGGGTATTACTCAGCTTCCAAAGAAACACACACAGACACATGGTTTTGTAAGAAGTGGCAGGCAAAGGAGGCCTGTTCACCTCTTGCCATCTGCTGGACAAAAGTCTCGTATGCCAGAAGTTCGCTTTTTCTAAAAAGAGAGGGGTGCGGGGAATGAAATGCTACTTCAAGGGAAGGGAACAGTTTTATAAATAGAGTTAACATTCCCTCAGTTTCTCAGGAAGAGGAGTTGGTTGCTAAACCACTCTGAGCATTGTAGCTCTGGGAGGGGAAACAGGGATCTCCTAATAGCTCTCAGCACCCTTAACAAACTTCGGTTTCCAGGACCCACAGCAGCCAAGTCGTGGTTGGCATCTGTCAGTCTTGAGAGAAAATGGAGTGCACCTCTGGGAGTAAAGTCAAACCACTGTGTTCGCAGAACCAAACTGACCTCCCCAGGGCACAAGCCTGGGCAGTGGTCAGGGATGAGGGGAGTTGTAGTCCAGCCTCTGGGGGGCTGCAGGTTCCTCAGCCCCAGTCGACCCTCGACTGGTCAGAAGCTGGTAAATGCTTTGTTGCTGTTTAGTCGTTTAGTCGTGTCCGACTCTTCGTGACCCCATGGACCAGAGCACGCCAGGCACTCCTGTCTTCCACAGCCTCCCACAGTTTGGTCAAACTCATACTGGTAGCTTTGAGAACACTGTCCAACCATCTCGTCCTCTGTCGTCCCCTTCTCTTGTGCCCTCCATCTTTCCCAACATCAGGGTCTTTTCCAGGGAGTCTTCTCTTCTCATGAGGTGGCCAAAGTATTGGAGCCTCGGCTTCAGGATCTGTCCTTCAAGTGAGCACTCAGGGCTGATTTTCTTAAGAATGGATTCGTTTGATCTTCTTGCAATCCATGGGACTCTCAAGAGTCTCCTCCAGCACCATAATTCAAAAGCATCAATTCTTCAGCAATGATCCTTCTTTATGGTCCAGCTCTCATTTCCATACATCACTACTGGGAAAACCATAGCTTTAACTATACGGACCTTTGTTGGCAAGGCAATGTCTCTACTTTTTAAGATGCTGTCCAGGTTTGCCATCGCCTTTCTCCCAAGAAGCAGGTGTCTTTTAATTTCGTGGCTGCTGTCACCATCTGCAGTGATCATGGAGCCCAAGAAAGTAAAATCTCTCACTGCCTCCATTTCTTCCCCTTCTATTTGCCAGGAGGTGATGGGACCAGTGGCATAATCTTAGGTTTTTTGATGTTGAGCTTCAGACCATATTTTGTGCTCTCCTCTTCCACCCTCATTAAAAGGTTCTTTAATTCCTCCTCACTTTCTGCCATCAAGGTTGTGTCATCTGCATATCTGAGGTTGTTGATATTTCTTCCGGCAATCTTAAATCCGGCTTGGGATTCATCCAGCCCAGCCTTTCGTATGATGAATTCTGTATATAAGTTAAACAAGCAGGGAGTCAATATACAGCCTTGTTGTACTCCTTTCCCAATTTTGTGATCCGCAATAATAGTGGGCACGATCAACATGTGTAATCTGTTGCTTTCAGTTCCTCTCATTTCCCCACATTTCCACATCGGTTTGCAATGATTAAAAATAACAAAGCCCTCATGAAAATTCATCAGCATTTATTTGCTATATATATACATACATACTATGCTTGACCCACACATTTTTGCAAAGCAATTTCCCCATACACCAATATACATTTTTATGCACACTTTACTCTATCTGCTGCATTTTTTGCACACATGACCCGGGCTGGAGAGCTGTGCTGCAAAATTCAGGCGTGCGTGCATTTCAAAGGATGGCTCTGTTTCGGCTCACATACTTGTTTCAGGAGGTGCAAATGATGTCGCTTCACCTTTCCGTATGATTGGAATAAAATATCTCCCCGAGAGGATGCTTCAAACAATCCCCAGTGCGCTCAAACACCCCTAAGCTGTAGAGATTCTCCATAGGTTGGCTCCCACACCTGTAGCGTCTCCTTGTGCTGGCAAGTGGGCACTCCAGGCTGCGCACTGCATTGGCTCTGGTCCACAAAAACACACACACTGCTTTGAGTGTGTTTTTGTGGCTGGAACAAGCTATTGAATTGTGCTTACGCATCTTGGCGGCCTGGCTGGAGAGATGGGGCACGCACAGGTGTGTATTGAAACCTCTGGCTTTTGAGCGCTCGAATGTGATTTGCCCAAAGATGGAAGGAAGAAAAGGTCTCAACGAAAGAGGAATTGCAACAGGTACTATTGGACTATGCAGAAATGACAGAGCTTACCAGAAGAACAGGAAATCGTTTATTGACTACAGTCATACCTCAGGATAAATACGCTTCAGGTTGAGCACTTTCGGGTTGCGCTCTGCGGCAACCCAGAAGTAACGGAGTGCATTACTTCTGGGTTTTGCCACTTGTGCATGCGCAGACGGTCAAAATGATGTCACGCGCATGCGCGGGAGTGGTGAAACACGGCCCACGCATGCGCAGACGAGCTGTCGCATCTTGCATTCCATTCGGGATGCGAACGGGGCTCCGGAACGGATCCCGTTCGCATCCTGAGGTAGCACTGTATTTACAAAAGTCTTGCAAACAGATTAAGACATTGGCAGGATTGATGTAAAGACATGCAGTGATATTAAACAACAGCTGATTATATGTGTTAAATAAAAAATAGGTTCAATTTGAAAATGCAGTAAAAATATTATATATATGTATAAGGAACTGCAGAAAGAAGGGGTGAGGAGTCGAAATATGATATAGTGGTACCTTCGTTCTCGAACGTAATCCATTCTGGAAGTCAGTTCAACTTCCGAAATGTTCCAAAACCAAGGTGTGGCTTCCGATTGGCACAGCCGCTCCGGAAACAATAGCCCACAACCAATTGGGCGTTCGGCTTCCAAAAAATGTCCAAAAACTTGAATACTTACTTCTGGATTTATGGCGTTTGGGAGCTGGAATGTTTGAGTACCAAGACGTTCAAGAACCAAATTTCCACTATACGTAATAACTTGATTTTTAAGAGGGGGTTTTGTTGTTGTTTTTTGCTATTTGTTTGTTGTAAAATGAAAATTATAAATAAAATTATTATTATTATTTATTATAAATAAAAATTTTATATATATATATGAGAAACCTCTGGCTTCTTATCATGGAATGCATCCCTTTTGTGCAAAGGTAAGAGGCAAGTATGGGACGCGGGTGGCGCTGTGGGTTAAACCACAGAGCCTAGGACTTGCTGATCAGAAGGTCGCCATTTCGAATCCCCACGACAGGGTGAGCTCCCGTTGCTCGGTCCCTGCTCCTGCCAACCTAGCAGTTCGAAAGCACGTCAAGTGCAAGTAGATCAATAGGCACCACTCCGGTGGGAAGGTAAACAGTGTTTCCGTGCGCTGCTCTGGTTCGCCAGAAGCGGCTTAGTCATGCTGGCCACATGACCTGGAAGCTGTATGCTGGCTCCCTCGGCCAGTAAAGCGAGATGAGCGCCGCAACCCCAGAGTCGGCCACGACTGGACCTCATGGTCAGGGGTCCCTTTACCTTTAAGAGGCAAGTTTGTTGCTTTGCCTGTTCTGCCTCTGGCACAGTCCACCCCTGGCATGTGCCCAAATTAACCATTCCCACCCTCCGAACCAAAGGACGGGGCAACGGCGGTGATGAATGGTGGCAATTAAGGTTGTCAGTGAAATATTCTGTGTCCTCCATCCTTGCTTTTCAGTTGCCAATGAAAACAGAGCGAGGCCTGAAAGATCCCGAGAGCTCAAGGCAAAGTCCTGCAGTTGCAAAAAGGTGACTTTTATTATTTTTGCGCAGTTACCTTTTGCAAAGATGCAAAAATCCATCTGGGGGGGGGGGGAATCAAAACGAAAAACAACCCGGGCTGTGACATTTGGAAGGGGAAAGATGGGGGGGTCTGCAAAATTCTGCACTGTTTGAAAAATTGTTCAAAGTGCCTTGTTAAATTAAGCTCTGAGAAAGAGGAAGAGGGAGGATGGTTAAGACTCATGAGTGGGCTTCATGCTAATAAATCCATTTTTAAGTGTTTTAACGTAATTATATTTCAGGCAGGGATGTGAACTCATTAAAGTTGCCTGTAATATACTGTGAGAACAGTGTGTATCCTCCAGAGGTTAAATGAGCATTTAATCTTAATTACAACTTCCAGTGAAGGGTAAAATTACAGAGGGTCCTGCAGCCGGTTTAGCTCTGTGCAATGTGGAAAAGCAGGCTCGGATTCTAAGACATGGAGCATGGGCTGTTTGAACTGGGCATCACCCTCTTAAATTGTTTTCAAACACAATCTGTTACCTTTTTTGTTTCAGCCCACCAGAATGTGAGTCCCTGAATGTTCAAAACTCTGTCCTAGGCTCTGGGCTGTCTCATTGCTGGGTGTCTTCAGAAATCGTAGAATCATATTTACACTTCGCAAAAGGTAACACAAGCCAGCCACTGAAATTCACTCTCCTCCAAACTTTGTGATTTAGTTCTCCGGCAAGATGGTGCATATGAAAATGCACAAACAGTTGCACCTTGGTTCTCGAATAGAATGTGTTCTGGGAGTCGGTTCAACTTCCGGAATTTTTCAAAAACCAAGGCGTGGCTTCCGATTGGCTGCAGGAGCGTCCTGCAGCCAAACGGAAGCTGCACTGGACGTGCGGCTTCCGAAAACCATTTGAAAACACTCGCAACGAGTTCCAAGGCGTTCGGCAACCGAGGTACGACTGTACACTCATACCTCATGTTACGTTTGCTTCATGTTACGTTTTTTCAGGTTGCGTCCCACGGCGACCTGGAAGGGGTTACTTCTGGGTTTTGCTGCTCGCGCATGCGCAGTAGCACTAAATCACGCTTCGCACATGCGCACAAGCGCCAAATCACGCTGCACACCTGCGCAGATACGCTGCTTCAGGTTGCGGGCTTTTTATGTTGCGAACGGGCCTCCGGAACAGATCCCATTTGCAACCAGAGGTACCACTGTATATGGGAAAGTGCAATATAATTGCGCCTGTTGTTGAAAACAAAATGCATTACTTTCAGGGAAATTGCATGTGAAAATGTGCATGGATCGGGCAGAACTGCATAGAAAAATGTGTGCATTGAGGAGAAATGAGTATGAAACTGCTGGCCAATTTTCATGGGGACGCTTTATGTAAATAAATAAATAAATAAATAAATAAAAACTGTCTCCGCTTTCAATTCACAGAGTCTTATTCACGGTTTGTTAACATTCGGTATGAATTTGGTTTACATTCGGTCATAGACATTGGGGCATAGCTGTCAAGGTTTTCCTTTTTTTAAGGGAAATTCCCTTATTCCGAATAGGATTCCTCGCAAGAAAAGTTGACAGCTATGCGTTGGGGAGGGTGGGGAGAGGGAGAGGGGAGGGATAATGATCTCCCCTCATTTTCAAAACAAATTCTTTTTATTAAAGAATTTTGGGGTGACAAAGGGACATACAGCGTCCCTGCTTTCAGTTCGTAGAGATCTTTCTGCAGATCATTCATATTCAATGTGAGGCGCTAATGTTAGAGACAGCATAAAGTGACGGGGGGGGGGGAGAGAGAAGGGGGAGGAACCATAAGAGCTTCATTAAAGTACCAAGGGTATTAAAATCCAAGGCCATTAAAATGAAAAGTTGTGCTTGGGCGCCCCCTCTCTGCAATGCCATGAATTGCACTGGAAAAGGAAAAGGAAACAGGACCGTGCTGAATGTAAGAAAAGAAACCTCAAAATAGAGCTTTCCAAACTGTGTGCTGCAACACGTTAGTATGTCGGCTGCAGTTTGTAGGTGCTTCGCGCGAACGCTCCTCCTGGGGCTGGAAAGGGGTTCGTTTAACCTCTGGTTTAATAGTAAAGCTGGGTTACTGTGTCGCCGCATGTCTAAAAAGTGCGTCACCAGCATGAAAAGTTTGGAAAGCTCTGCCTTCAAAGATCCCTGGTTCCTTTAGGGATGAGTAGAATCTGTGGTTCTCAATATATTGTTGGACTCCGATTCCCATAATCCCTTCTCATTGTTCATGCTGGCTGGGGCTGAAAGGAGCTGGAGTCCCAAGAACATCTGCAGGGCCATAGATTCCTCACCCGGCGACTTAGCTTTACAGTTTCCAAGAGCCTTTCGAGCCTGAATTTTTAGTGCTGTTGCAGGAATTTATGTATAGGTTGGGGGGGTTGCCCCTCCAGCAGATATCATGCACATGCAGCCCACTACCAAAATGAGCACAATCACTTTTGTGACTTTTGTGATTTGTCCCCACAAAACACGTCATCACAGTTTCTTCCTATCTATTCAAAGGGCCTTTGATACCAAATGAAAAGAATTCACTGATAAATGTATCTATGTACTGGCTCACTGGGAAAACTTCAGAAATTCATATAGACATGTGAGCTCAGCTGCTCAGCAGCCCCTCTGCCTGAGTGATAATCCCTGGCATCCTGATACCTGAGTGCCAGACAGGTAGCCATTCCAGAAATAACAAACCCAGATGAAGACAAAAGGGTGTGATTAACTTGGCTGGGAAACAGGGAAATGTAAAGATCTCTTTTGTTACACTTGATGGGTGTTTGGTGGAAGGCAAGGAGAACCATGGGACAGGGTCCAGGATGCTCAGATTACTGCCACCAGACCTCTCCTTTCATGATGTAACCATGAAGTATTAGTGATGTGTTTGGGGGGGGGGTAACATGGGGATTAGCAGCTAATAAAAGTTTGGGTTCTCCTTTGTTCGGGGCTTCCATCTTGTTCCACCTGGTGGCAGGTGGGAGTCCTGTCGTGACAGTCTTCAATAAAGACCAAGCCTACTGGCTGCTGTTTTGCTCTGGTATTCCTGGCTGGTGTCCTTGTTTTTTTGTCCAAGAGAGGCCTCAGATTTCTCCGTTAACAGTGTGCACAAAATGTGTCGAGGCAGCACAGCCCTGCTGAGCTAGAAACCGTTAGATGGATTCAGAGGGTAGCCTGCTGATCTTTGCATGAAGGGCGTTATACAAATTTCATAGAATCTTAGAAGAGACAGAAGGGACCCAAGGGTCATCTAGTCCAACCCACTGCAATGCAGGAAAATTTAATAAATTTAATAAATAATAAATAAAATAGAGCATGTCAAGGTAGGGCTGGGAATACCCCCTTCGTCGGGTTAAGAACTTAATTCGTTCCGGAGGTCCGTTCTTAACCTGAGGTACCACTTTAGCTAATAGGGCCTCCTGCTGCCGCTGCGCGATTTCTGTTCTCATCCTGAAGCAAAGTTCTTAACCCGAGATACTATTTCTGGGTTAGCGGAGTCTGTAACCTGAAGCATATGTAACCTGAAGCATCTGTAACCTGAGGTACCACTGTATTCCACTGCCCTCCTTTCTAACCACCATCAATGGCCTTCCCCTCCATAACTCTGTCCAATCCTTTTTTGAAACCATCCAAGTTGGTGGTTCATGTTCTATGGCGGATTTCTCCAGGTAAGCCTGAGTTCTCTCATTATGAGAGAATCATTCGTTCTCTCTCTCACACACACACACATCTCTTCTTACCACCCACAATTTTAACATTATAATTTAAGACAACAAAGGCTGTCACTAGGTGTGTCCGGCGCCTGCTTCCTGAATTAGATGCCCACATGAGCACAAATTACTAGCTTTGTAGCATGAGCCACCTGCCTTTAATGAATGGGGGAAATCTGTCATTGGCCACTGCATAGCCCTGTTATCAGTCATGTGCCTTCTCCCTCGTGCAAATCAGCCGGTTGGACAAGATGCTCCCAGGATAGATACTCCTGGCAGGAATTCTGAGATTGCCAGGAAGCTCCCGCTAATCTGTATGACACAGAATTGATCATGGGAATCCCGTCCAGGGCCATGCAACTTAACACCAATCAAAGGGTGATGAATTGCTTTCCTTTGAATCAATCAAATCTAAGCAAACACTTGCATTAGCAGACAGTCAAATGTATTTATTTTGCCCCACGTTGGGCAAAAGATCCCTGATTGGACCGGGAACTGATCTACAATGAGCTTAAAAGGATTTTTAAATATACTTTTCCCAAAAAGCCTGAAGCTTTCCTGCTAGGAATAGTTGGCAAGGAAATTAAAAAAGAGGATAAAAATCTGTTTCTATATGCCACAACGGCCGCTAGAAATATGTTGGCCCAAAGCTGGAAAACAGAATTAATACCTACTATAGATGACTGGCAGAACAAGATGATAAATTATGCTGAACTAGCTAGAATAACAGGAAGACTAAGAGACCAGGATGACCAGAAGTTTCATGAAAATTGGAATAAATATCTGACGTATATAAGAGATAAGTATAGAACTTTGAGGACTCTGGCAGGGTTAGAATAACTCTAACAGTGTTTGGCAAATATGTAAAGGAGATAAAACATGTAACTTTAGAAATTATCTGATACTTATCAATAAAGTGAAGGGAAGTCCGAGGCTCGGCGGAGCCTATAAATAATTGTGTACTATATATATGATTTTTGTAACAGCTATGTTATATGCAACTTATGTAATCTAGACTGTATATATGTATAATCAATGAAAATTAATAAAAATGTATTAAAAAAAAAAAAAGATCCCTGATTGGACCAGACCTTCGTGGTCCTTTCCAACTCTACAATTCTATGATTCTGTGAAGTCTTTGATTCTATCACCACCACCATTTTATTATTTATACCTCGCCCATCTGGTTGCATTGCCCCAGCCACTCTGGCCAGCTTCCAACACATATAAAAAACATAATAAAATATCAAACAGTGTCCTGATACAGGGCTGCCTTCAGATGTCTTCTAAAAGTTGTGTAGGACCCAGGGCAGCAGACACACTAGCAATAAAACATCTAAAAATAATTTTAATGCAGGTGCAGACTGGGAACGGTCTGCTCTTAAGAGACTGATTGAAAGAGGAAAGTCTTCAGGAACCACTGAGAAATTCAAGAGAAATTGTGTCTGTCTAATATTCCAGGAGAAGGTATTCCACAGGCTTGAGGTGCCGCAACACTAAAGGCCCATTTCCCATATTGTGGGGAACAGACCTCTTGATAAGATGGTATCTATAAGAGACCCTCACCTGCAGAGCACAGGGACATATAGAAGACACAGACTATATTTCAGGTGCGTGTGTGTGTGTGTGTGTGTGTGTGTGTGTGTGTATTGTTAGGCAGGGTTGCCAAAATCTGCACTTCTGACGTGGGTTGCCATTCGTCCGGATTTTCCCAGACATTTCAGTGATTTCCGCCCGGACACAGTTTCCAGTGGTCGAATCCCGGCAATGCCTGGGAAATTCCAGACATATGGTAACCCTATTGTAAGGAGTTTAAGGGCTCAGTCTGGGTTATTCATAATAATAATAATAATAATAATAATAATTTATTATTTATACCCTGCCCATCTGGCTGGGCAGCTTCCAACAGAATATTAAAATACAATAATCTATTAAACATTAAAAGCTTCCCTAAACAGGGCCGCCTTCAGATGTCTTCTAAAAGTCTGGTAGTTGTTTTCCTCT